GTTTCTTTATGTTTAAATGTACCTCTTGAGAAAGTCTAGGAAGCATATTGAGATCCTTGTTTTATTAGTGTGTCATTAAATCTGAGATTAAGAGTTGCTCATTCATAATCCCCAAATGAGTGCCGCTGGCTCGAATTACTCCTTTAAAATGTATCCCTTGAACACAGTGATCTCTGCTTATGTGTTTGACATAGTGGCTCTGACATAGTAAAGATATTAAGAAATAAACAGGATAGGATGACACAGCAGGCAAAAGTTTAGGAAGACAGATTAATAACAAATCTTAGTGAATAATAAATAATAGTTATTTTGAATAATATATATATATAATTAGTTTTCTCAGTAATACTAACAGCAATAAAAAAAAATACTAGCCACATTGCATTTTAAAAAGAAAATGTGCATTAATACTGTTGAAAATAAAGGAAGGGGTTTGAGTTGAGTAGTCATTGAAGAGTCTCACACACCATGTGCAGTGCTGTTGTTCCACACATGAAAACCTTGTAATAAGATATGACAGGAGGGTAAGCTTTAATTCAGGCAGATACTCTGCAGACATTTGCATGTCACGAAAATGAAACACTTGAGCAGAGCTTAGCTCACTCTTTACAATGCGAAAGACAGAGAATGTGGTGAAGACTCATAACAGATGTTGTGCCTATGGGCCAGGCCACCCGTTATTATGCCAGGTAGTGGCTCAAAACATCTCTCCATGTTGATTTGGCCAATGCCACTGAAAAATTATACCAATCGTGCGTTTGTAAAAGTCTCCTGCCACATGTGATGTGTTCGAAATGGCCTCGACTTTATTGTTTCGGTTTCAGAAATGCTAAACAAATCTCTGCTGTGCACACACACCGTGTATGATCCCCAAGATGTTGAGACAGTCTGGGGTTTTTGTACATTAGGATGCCCAAAGTGGCTTTGCGAAGATGGAATGTTTCTTTTATGTGAAATTAAATAAGATCAGCTTGTGGGCCTCTATCCTTCCTCTTCCGCTTTCCGTTTTATGTTCATTTCCATTCCCGAACAAAGCCGTCTCTCCACGGTGTATTAATGCCCATCAAAGGCCTCAATCAAGTTGCTTTGCCACAGGCTAAAGCCAAACTGGAGAGGCTAAAGTTTAATGTTGTCCGTTGCAGTGAGGATGTGGCCTCATTTCTCTTCAACATCCTTTTTTTTACATTAATACCCCCACATTTGCAAATATCTTGCTAGTCCCATTAGTGGAACAAGGCATCTGAAAACAGCACAGGGCCATTTCAAGGCCTCGGACTGTGACAACAGTCTTACTCATTGTGCCACTAAGAATGTCTTTATGTATCTAACTGAGAGGGGAACATTTAGAAAATAAAACATAATTATACAAAGCTTCCTAAAAAATTTGTCACGGCTGTGAGTCAATAGGATCTTAGTTTAGAAGTATCCGGCAATGATAAATATTTAGGAAGAAGCTGCCAGTTGTCTGCCAGGAAGGAATAAAATGCTCTGTCTTAGTCTTGATGAAACTTCCCTTGCACTTGTTTACTCTATCTTTTGTGTGCTCTAAGCAGTGCATGTATAGTGTATTTCAATAACAACTGAATGGATATTGCAGTAATAGATTTCCATTTTAAATGTATCATACCTTTCCTAACTTATCAGATTTTTAAGCAAATTGTAATAAATGGTAACAAATATTTAAAAAGATCATAGCACATAATTAGTGAGTCCTCATTGCAAGTCGTTTTTCTTTCTGCTGTATTTGTTTTTATAATGAAAATCAAAACGATATCAAATAGATATCATGTGATCCTTATAATCCAGGCCATCCACAATAAAATAGAAATCTATTTTTAAATACAATTTGATGACTTTGAACCAATGCAAACCGATCAATAGAAAATTGAACTTCTGTCATCTTTTGTGAGGTCCTTAAATGACTGTGAATTTATTTTATACAGTCAAAAACAAAGTGTGTGTGTGTGTGTGTGTGTGTGTGTGTGTGTGTGTGTGTGTGTGTGTGTGTGTGTGTGTGTGTGTGTGTGTGTGTGTGTGTGTGTGTGTGTGTGTGTGTGTGTGTTTGATGCTCCCTTATTCACTGCAGGTGGGCCTACTGTTATGGGAAAGCTTTCACTCACTGTTCCAGAAAAGTGGAACATAAATAATTGTTCAATAGTGAGGAGCACAGCCCCTCATGCATTATCCCGGGTTATAGAGACTGTGTATGGTTCTTATAATAAAGCAAGTACTCTTGCTAAAAATTTGGATACAATCCCTGTAAAAATCAAAGGAGATCAGATCATTCTTTTGGCAAAAGCATGAACTGAACTCTAAACACGCCAATGGAAATATAAAACACACTATATTCCATCTTTATTTACAGCTGTTGCAGATTCCCAGTAAATGGAAATAAAACGTTGGGCAAACAAAGCATTTCAGAGTCATTCTGTGCTCCCTTGTGCTTCCTGCTGAATGTATTTTCACTATGAAATGATTTATCTATTAATGACCTTTCAGTTTCGGTGCCTGGTGTTGAACAAAAGAATCACATCAGAAAGAGCCTGCAAACAAGCAGCATAATTGAAATGCATTGTCACTCAATACGAAAATCTGAGTTAAAGCTGTAGCATTATGACATTACACAATCATTACCTAACATCAGCTCACTGCTAAGAATAGCCCAAACAGACTTGTAATGTTTCCGCAGGTTGAACATGCGGCTAAGTAATCATTAAGTCTGGTTCACTGCCATAAATCATGCTGTTGACATGCAGAGAAAGACTTCATAGTAATTTGATATTTGTTTGGCTTTATTAGATGAAACATAAACTGTTGTAAAATCATTCTAACTTTTCCCCTTTGGGACAGTCAGTTTACAGCTGAGTTTAAGCCAAGTTTTCAGAGCATGAATTTGCTCATACAAGTACGAACACCTTTCAGCCTGACGGACTTTATTTGAAATCCAATCATATGAATGGAGCAGATTTATCTTCCTCTCTCTCTTTTTCTTTATTCCCCTCACACATGGCTTGGGTGTGTTCATGTGTCCAGCATGTGTGCATGACTGTATATGTTTGTGTGTGTGTTGCTATGTTTAAACTATAGTTTCTAGCTGTGAGTGTGTAAATTTCTCTACCAGAAGATACATGTGTGCTGTGTGTACCTTATTTTGTTAATCCATTTGAAAATAAGACATTTGTATCATGATTTGGAAAATGTTTCAAAGAGGTTTGATATTTATTATAATTATATTAGATCTCAATTCACTGTTAATAAATTGCTGTATGTGTGAGCATTACATCTTGGAGAATATTTTAGGAAATTAAGTGAGATACATTGATTTCACTCATTCTTATGCATGTAAAAGCATTTCCCAAAATCAGTTAAATGTATGATTCCCAATCTGGCATGAAATTGTGTCATTCTTTTGTGATTGTACTAATTTAAGCATATGTAATATTATTTATCGAAAATATATGTGGACTAAAGGGAATTTACATTGTTGGGAAATCATCACTTAAAATGATATGGCCTGACATGATGTGACAAATTAGCATTGCTGTGTGCATAGTTCATATTGTATTATGAATCTCTGTCTTAAACTGTGTTCATTGATTTTACTGACACAACGTTTAAAAACCAACACCAAAAAAAGTGTTGCATTCATCAATATATTTTTTTTTTATTGAATTAAATAATATTGTATTGAAAATAATTTGATTTTTAAGTTGTTTCTCAAACACATGTGTGACAAAGGACATTATGTCTTGTTTAATCCTGCATTCAGAATTACACATACATCCTTGTGTTTTTTTAACATGAGACAATTGTATTCCAATATTGTTTTGTTAAAATCAGACAGCCAATACCTTGATAATTGTGTCAAGGTGTGTCTAATTAATCTAATCATAAAATACTATATATTTATGCACATTTCTAGTAATCGAAGGTACTGTAACATTGGCGAAACTAGAAAGGCCTTTAAATAGATATTGCCATTATAATTATCGACAGGTTTGTTGCCTGCCTGTTAATTATGTAAATTTTTCGAAAACGGATTGTAACTTAATAGAAAACGGATAATAAAACAAATACTTAAAATACATCTGTGGAAAATAATAAGACTGCACTAAAATACACATAATGTAAGAATAACATTTCTTTATACTATTTCAGTCCAATTTTATTGTGGTTTATCATTACAAATTGTATGTTCTATCACTGGAAATGTGAAACGAAGTCATTGAGTCTTTAAAATTAAATGCTTTTGGATCAAAAATGTTAATGTTGATGGAATAAATAATTAGGATGCAAATTACTGTAGAATTCCTTTCAAGTGATACAAATAATACATTAAAAAGCTTTAACAAACATAATCACCGTTGTATACAGAAGCCACAGAGCTTGAACACAATCGGCTGTGTGATGTGCCCTTGATGAACCATTGCAAATGAAGCGTAAAATCGTGCCCTCTCCGCCCTAGTGCCATCACTCATGGGCTATATTCATATCCAAATTACATTAATGTCATGGGTTAAGCCCCCCGCCCCTATTTTGCCAACTCTTTTTCTTTTTCTTCAGCTAATAAGTGACCTAACTCGTTCATGTCATCGGCACAATCACTTGGGAGAGGTCTTGAAGCTAGGATATCTGGGTCCCATCCTCTGAGGAAAGAGGGGTTTGTGTAACTCTGCTAAAATCTTAGGGGGAGTTTGGAGTGTTTGGTCAACGACAGTGGTTCCTGGAAAAGATCTGAATCGTTGTATAACCAAACCCAGCTGCGGTGTGTGCTGCAGTGTGTGTGCTGCAGTGTGTGTGTGTGTGTGTGTGTGTGTGTGTGTGTGTGTGTGTGTGTGTGTGTGTGTGTGTGTGTGTGTGTGTGTGTGTGTGTGTGTTCATCTGTATGAGGTAGAGGGAGAGGAGGGGGTGTCTGTGCTTCCCTTTCCAAGAGAGAGAGAGAGGGAGGGAGAGAGAGAGAGAGAGAAGTTTGGTCTTTTTCTTCCCTTCAGTGTTTTTAAGCATGAACGCCGAGACCTGCGTTTCATACAGCGATATGACATCCATGGATTCATATTATATCCCCTCTGCAGTGCAAGGTAGGGATCTCCAGACGGATCACTTTAGGACATTCCCAGCCTCTGACACCAAATACAGCCCTACTGCCTTCCTGCCCAACAAAGGTCAGGCTTACGGAGAAAAGTCCCGGAGCCCCTTCCAGCAGGAGTGCCAGTCATTGGATGCCGCCGCAGCTGGGCAAGGCACTTTCAGCAAATACCACCTCTTCATGCAGAGGTCTTCTTGCAAGACACCCCCCGAGGAGGACAAACTGCACCAGGACAGCGGACACAACGGAGCGCTCATCTCCGGCTATGGTGAGTTCAAAAATACATAAGATGTGACTGAGTTACTTTCACTTCCCCTTGTCACTTATTATGTAGCAGAAAGTTGTTTTTATAACGTAGGATGCTTTCTCGAGGCAGTCTGGTGGTCTAACCTTTCATCAGCGTTATATGGCTCATCGTTGATCCACTTGTTTCCACTAGAATCCACAGATAGCCTGAAGTGGTTTGGACGTTTGGAATGAATTAATGGAAATCGACAGGACTGCGATGTGTCGTAGGCTACCGTGTCCGATATTTACCTTCTGAGTGATATTATTACACAAACAAATATATTTCAAATGGCTTGGTGCTTCTAAAAATGCATGTTTTCTTCTTCCTGTCTCCTGTAAGATGCGTAAAATGCAGCTGCAAACCTTCCTCTCGAGCAGCAGTGCACCGGACAGCTAAGCTCTTAACGTCATGACCAGCAGTTATGTGCGTAACGCAGTTAAGAAGAGGCATAATCTTCTCGACTATCAAATTGTCCCTTTGGCCATCAAAATTAAATTAGGGCGCATATAATGCGATAATACATTACAATCCTTAATATTGGAGCTCAGTCGCACAATTGAATTAACAGGTTTTCAGATGGCACAAATAGTGAGCCTTAAACTGATAATATTTTAATTTCATTGTTCTGCCTGATTGACTCCAATTATATTTAATTGCTCGGAGACGCTACTGTAATGGGTGAATGATGAGGGTGTAAATAAAACTTTGACCCTCGTTAGGCAAGCGGCCACTTTGAAGTAGCGTTTACCTAAAATAATACAATTTCCCCCCTAACTGGATTCACACATAAAACCAGAATGAAAACTGTAGTGTTAAGCTTTGACATGCGTAAAGGAGCTTCATTTTGTCATCGTGGAAAACTGAATTCAGCTGGTTTAACCTTAACTGATTACCTGCCTAACGCGCTCTCTCTCTCGCTCTCGCTCTCGCTCTCCCACCCACACACACACACACACACACACACACACACACACACACACACACACACACACACACACACACACACACACACACACACACACACACACACACACAAAGACGATTATTTGTTTGATATGATTTAAGACAATAAGTCGATTCCGCCCTATTGTAAATCCAATTAATGTGTTGAGTTTTTGCCCTCAAAAAATCAGGGGTATAATCACAAGAATAACAATCAAACAAACAGAAGCCGGTCTCCAAAAAAGACTGAATATGTTGTGTGTAAGAGCTAAGAAAAAAGGGAGCAAATCTCATCACCATGGCTATGGTTTATTAAGGTAAGAGATCTAAGCTGACGGTTTATAAAAATCCTTCAAAGCGGATTTATGCATCGTGAACGGAAATCTTTTTTTTACTTGTTTGAAAACAAATGCTCTAAACGTGTATAGTTGTGAGATCATGACAATACATGATCTTGAATAAAGTCACAAAGGCCGAGATTTATTTTCCATCTATCTCTCACTCTTTTAGTCTGCAAGGAGTATTAACATGCGTTCCGGTTCATCTAAAAATAATCCATACATATTGTTGTACCTCTACGGGAAATAATTGATATCGTCAGAACTAAATACTGACATGATGAGGAATATTGTGCTGTCGGAACCCCTGTTTAATCCCTAGACACAACTAACTGATGGTAGACCTGTACGCCAAAAAACAGCGAGTAAAAATAATGTATTAAAAAATAAATAATGACATTTAATAATAATAATAATAATAATAATATGTACATGTTTTACGCATGAATCCATTGCCCATTTTTCATTGATTTGAATCGAATCGCCTGTCCATCAGAGTTACACTGAAATGTTTATTGGAAGCACTTTAACGATGTTTTGACAGTTTCTGGAAATCCGCCTGCAGAAAAAAGCCTTTCCATCTGCAGAGATCAAACTTTTCTAAAGCTCCGGTCTTTAATTGGCTGTTTTTATTACCTATTGAACTTGACATAGATCCGGTAAATCAACACCAAGTATAAATGTTATATTATGTTTTAAATAAACCACAGTTATTAGCCGAATGATAAACTAACCGGCCTATTAGTCCACATTTTAGACAGTTAACGAATTCTCTTTAAATATCCACCAATCTTCTCCAATATCTACTATTTTAGGATTTCTTTGAATAAAACATCAATATTCGCGGGGAGAGTTGGTCGTGTTTGCATTTCAGCAGTGAACACGAAGGGGCGAGATTATAACATGTCATTTATAGTGTGTTTTTTTCCATCGGGCTTTTACTTAAATGTATCAATGCAGGTTGTCAGTTAAATGCAATTTAAGTTCCTTTATCGATTCTTTTGGATGTTTTGTTCTTTTTTTCTAGTTGTCAGGTCTGCTTACAATATTGGCACTCTCCTTTAATCAACACAGAGTAAATATAACGACCGGAATCACAGAAGGGAAGGCAGGAAAAAACATCCCGGCGCTTATAGTGAAGACGAGCTCTGGCATTAACGCAACTCAGATGTCAAACTCCTCTGTTTGCCTTTATTTCCCTGCTCAGAGTCACTTGGCACTCGTAAATCTCCGTTGACTCTACATGCTTGCTACAGGAACGTTTTATATTTGTATAATTATTTTTACATCACTTATCTCATAATTCTTTAGATGTAATTTATGCACATATAGAGTCTTTTAAAATTACCATATGCCCCTCGTGACAGTTTTCCTTATGATCATCCCAAACTGAAGGTTCTAGTTAACTCATCTTTTTATTGACATAAATTGAAGGCAGAAGTAAAATATGCTGAAAATATAGCAGAGGAAAAGACTGGTAAATGATTCTTGATGTGTTCATCGAAAAATGTTGGCATATTTTACTTCCTGAGTCATTTCTTTAATCAAACCTGTAATTAACAGATATGGCAGGCTAGATTCAAGTTGTCAAAAAAACGGCTTTGTTTTATCATTTCTGTCTTGATCTGTTTACTCGAAGGTGATGAGTGCTCTCTGAAGCAACTGCGTATTGGAAACAGTCATATTTGTCTGTCTTATAAACATTTAGATTCACTACCAAAACAGTCATATGGTTTCTTCATCTCTCCACATTTTTGATCATGTGTTGATGCATGAATTCTACAAGGCAGTTTTTTGGACAGCATCAGATTGAAATACATTTTAAGTCTAAAGATTTAAATAGTGTTTAAAGTGTTCGCCATATAACTATTTGCTACAGTGATGGAAGAAGTGTTCAGGCTGTTTAATTTAGCAATACATCAATATAATAAATATGTATAACAAGTAAAGGTCTTGAATGTAAAATGTTATGTAAGTGAAAGTACACAAATATACCAGCAAAATGTACTTAAAGCATCAGAAATCAATGTGGAGAGTTTAAGTGCAAACATGCCTATTGGCATTTGCAGCATTTTCATGTTAGACTATATCTTTAAGAGCACCACCATTGAAAAAAAAAAAAATGTCTATAATAAATTGATCTGGAGGCTCACTTGTTACTTGTAACAGCTATCAAATGAATGCAGAAAAGTAAAAAAAAATGCAATATATCTCTTTAATAATAAGTATTGAATGATGGACATTATAAAGTAAATCTTTCAAAAGTATACTTAAGTTAAAGAAATGTTTCTGAGTGTCAAAAAAGTAATGTTGGCCACCAAACAATGACATATTTACTTCATCAACATATAGATAGTCAAACCGGACTTCTTGACTGTCGAATAAGGCTCTAAGGATGATTTACTCGGTCACTTAATAGTCTTTAAAGCAGCCACCTTAGTCTTTGTGATCATCCAGAGACAACACGCTTACTCTTTTGATGTTTCCGTGTCTTCCCTCAGTGTCTGCGGGTGCTGACCTTTAGCTCGGCTTTCCTGCCCTCATCTGTTTGGAGAGCAGGGCGAGTTTCCCTGCACGCACACAGCAGAGAAAATTTGAAACCCCCTTTTTGAGACTCTCTGGTGTCAAAGACAAGCACATTGAAACATTTGGAGTCCAGTTTTACATAGCAGACATTTAACTGCACCATTAAGAGAAAGGATGTTACTTTGTTGTTGCTCAAGTGTTGAATTGTAGGCCTAATTATGGGGGGATCATGCCTTTTAGCTTGTGACTTTGCACGATAATGACACACACAACACACTGCTGGTATAATTCAAAGACATACAAGGCTGCAGTTTATTCTTGCTTTTACCATAATTTATTTCCTGGGCAAAGCAAGAATTTGATGCAATTGTACTGACCGAGAGCAACCATTTCAGCCCCTCGTAATGGCCGTCTGTGTAGATTGGTTGGAGCAGGGAGTAATGGGAACCAGCCATGCAGCCCAGACAACTGAGGCACACTTCAGCAAGTCAATGACATGAGTGAAGGTGACAAGGACTCAGGATCATTTTACCATTTAGCTTAAAGTTTGGCGGTGCAATTCACATTAGGCTCAGTTTGCATGGCCGAGTGAGAGCAGCAGGGCAGAAAGGCTCGTAGTCCAGGACTTCCTCTTTGCCACCACTTGATGTAAACTGAACGCTGAAACAGAACCAACCGTGGAGGACGGCACATCTGAGATTTTTTTTTTAATATGTTGCATGTCGGTTCATAAGGTGACTTTTTTCGCCTCACTTCACATTTATTTACTATATATGGTATCCATGTTAGGCCAAACACTTTTCGTACATTTTCAGCAGTAAAGGACAACCTTTTAAAGTTAATACTTTGAAGGTTTTAAGGTATTTCTTCCTTGTGTGCAGTCATGGGGCTTCACCAATGTCTTATCATGTCTAAGTTGTAAAGTATTTGAAACTCTTTTGAAAAGTAACTTGCTTGACCACAGGATTTTAAACATATATTTTAACAAACACACATAAATGAAGTAAAAAAACGATTTATTTCAGGAGCAGCTATTGTGCTTTTTATTTGGTATAATAACAACTGACAGTCCATGATATTTTTACAGTTTAAATGCTCAGGAATCTCTACAAAGTTTACTTCAATATGTTATGTTTTACAATTAATTGTTTGTTTTCCGTATTTTAATAGTTT